CTTTTAAGAGCCAGCAGATGTGGCTTTTTATACCCACAATTACCCTGTCTTGCTGGAAGGCAAAGTGAGCTTTCTGAGGAGCTGTTGGGAATCCTGGCTCGGCCCACATTAAGCACACAGGAGGAACACAAAAATACAAATTACATGCAAACATTGGAGGCATTCCTTGTTCATCCAAAGAGCTGCCAGTGCCAGGAGGTTCCTGCCGGGGGCTCCTGTTCTCTCTGTGCCTGGGGAAAAGCAGCTTTACCTGGGGTGATGCTGTAGCTGATTACAGAAAGCTTTGAAGGAGACAGACAACATAAATCAGGAGGCAGTTCCACGGGGTGCAACCAGTTCTCCTTCAGCAGGGAACTCTGCAGCATTCCCTGGATCCCATTCTGGGTTGTGCCATTTACAAAGGAACCAGGTGGGAATGGAGAGCTTGGAGCTCCCGGGTTAGGGCACGACAGCAGGCTGGGAGGTGATTGCAGGTAAAGTTAAACCCCTGTGTGGGGGATCAGCTGCCTTCTCTGAGTGGTTCTCACAGCTTAGACTGAAAAATGAGCAGCTCTTTTCTTCAGCTGGGCTGTCAAAATGCAGCACTGGTTGGTGTGGAGCAGCCAGGGCGATGGAAAGGGGAAAACAGGCACTGGCACTGTGTGGCACATCAGGTCACCAAAGCTGGAGGTCCCAGCCTTGAACGGTGAGATGAGAGTTTGGGAGCTGGTGAGGTCTGAGCTCTGAACTCCCAAACGCTCTCAGATTTCCAGTAAATTCTCTGGAATCCCCTGGGCATTGCTGAAATGTGGATTATGCAGCAGCTCCGGGCCGTGTTTGCTGTGCCGCCCGTAAAATGAAATGTGTTGTTTTGTTTGGCCTGTTCTGCCCTGGGCTGGCTCTGACATTCTGCAAGGGCAGGAACTTCCCCTGGGAGCTTTCCTGAGCTGCCACAGGGCTCCTGCTGCTTCATTTGCTTCTTGCTGAGAGACCCCCCAGCAGGAGCAGCTTCTGGGCTCTGCTGGGTGCACGTGCAGGTTGTTCTGCAAAGAGAGGGGATGCCTGGAGGGAGAGGAGGCCCTGGAGATGCTGCCAGGGCTGGAGCCCCTCTGCTCTGGAGCCAGGCTGGGAGAGCTGGGGATACTCACCTGGAGAAGAGAAGGATCCAGGGAGACCTTGGAGCCCTTTCCAGAGCCTCAAGGGGCTCCAGGAGAGCTGGAGAGGGACTGGGGACAAGGCCTGGAGGGACAGGACACAGGGAATGGCTTCCCAGTGCCAGAGGATGGGATATTAGGAAGGGATTCCTGGCTGTGAGGGTGGTGAGGGGCTGGGCTTGAATTCCCAGAGAAGCTGTGTCTGCCCCTGGATCCCTGGGAGTGTCCAAGGCCAGGTTGGAGGGGGCTTGGAGCAACCTGGGCTAGTGGAGGGTGTCCCTGCCCATGGAACAAGACAACCATGAAGGTCCCTTCCCACCCAAACCATTCTGGGCTTCCATGATCAAAACCTTAAATTTGAAGACCTCACCTTTTGTTGAGGGGAAGAGTAGTGGGACATAAAAGAGGAAGGGGCTTTGTTTTGCCTTTTTTTTTCCCGTTTTGCTTTTGTTTTTCCCCACCTCCTGTGTCAGGAGGTGTCTGGGGGGGGGGTTTCCTTGGCTCTGAGGTCTCTCTGCAGCACCTGAGCGTGTTCAGAGCTGTTTGTGTGAGGGTGAATGAGGTTGCCCAGCACCAGGATACGGGGTTGTCACCTCACCAGGTTTGTTCAGCGAGTTCAGGGGCAGCCCAAGGCTGCACCTTTGCCTGCAGGGTCTTCTTGGTGGCCCTGTGCAGCCTCCCTGGGCACTACCCTGTCATTCATGGCTCGGTGTTTGCCTCTGGCAGCTCCTCACAGCTGCCTATTCAGCCCTGTGCTGGATCCTGCCCTGATGATACAGCTGTCTGGAAATGAGGGGGATTCCCATGGTTGGGAATTGTGCAACCCACCCTCAGAGGTTGCTAAAGCTGGTTTGGTGGTGACTTGCCTCGTTGTGGGAGAGCTTTAAGTTGGGCCAGGAGTTCCTGTGTGTTGCAGCAGCTAAAGCAGATGAGAGATTTCCTGCACCAGGGTTCAAAGGTTGGGGTTTGTTGGACATTGGCTCCCGTCCAGGGAATTTTCAGGGACACAGCACTTCCTAAATGCTGCCTGCCTGTTGGTGCAGTGTTTGTGCCCCAGAAGAAAGGAGAGGTGCCACAAGGGAGGGGAGGCAGAACCCCCCAGTTCCCCTGGGATACCGGGTGCCTGCAGTTATGCCAAGTGAAAGGTTTGAGGAGCAAAGGGCACAAGTGGCACAAAGATGCTCAGGAGCTGAAGCGGGTCCAAAGAGGTCATGGAACCTCCATCCTTGGAGGTGTTCAGAGACTGGCAGAAGGTGTTCCTGAGCAACCTGGTCTAATTCCAGAGCTGGATGTGCCTTTGAACAGCTGGGAGCTGACATTCCAGCATTATTCCAGCATTCCAGATTATTGCTGTGTATACAAACCCCCTGGGGCCTTCACATCGTCCCTGCTGGGCCTTCCCACCCTTGCTCATAACCAGGAAAGGTCCAACAGGAGGGGGGAGTGGGGTGGTAGCAGTTCAAAGGCCTGTGATGTTGCTGTCTGGTCCTGGCTGCTCCTCATCCCCATCCCTCAGGGGTAACTCCTGCTGTGTCCTCTGTGCTTCCCAGGGCCGGGTGTGAAGACTCCGGAGGTGCGGACGATGGAGTACCTGGAGGAGGTGGCCATTGGCTTTGCCAGGGGCCTGGCCAACAAGACTGTGTCTGCCAAAAGGTCCAGGGGGCTGATGCAGAGTAAGTGTGTGGGCAGCAGGGCCAAATCCCAGGGGATTGTGGTGAATCCAGCTTGGCTTCTCTGGGCTCTGCTCACGCTCCTACTTATTTCCGTTTCCAAGACAAGGTGGTTCCATGTTGGAATCACCTCTTGAGCTGGGTGGGTTGGTAGGGAAAACATTGCTCTGCAGGTCTGGGCTCTGGCAGAGCTGGACTTGGTGGCTCCTGAGGTTGCTGGAAGGGAGCCAGGCCTCAGGGAGAGAGGGAGCAGCTGCCCCCAGGGGACTCTGCATCTTCAGAGCTTCGGTGGCAAGTTCTGTGCCAGGCTTGTGCAGTCAGGTGGGAAGAGGCCCGTGGGTCTGCTCCACGCTGCTCCCTGTTAGCAGAGCCCAGAAATGGGGCCATCCCCGGGGGAGTCCTGCTCCCCAGGGCTCAGCCTGTCACCACTGTGTGGGGAGGATGAGCCTTGCCCATGGGACAGGCTGTGGAGAGCAGCCCCTGCTGCCCGTGGCTGCTTTCAGGGCCACGTTTCCACTGCGGGTTTGCAGCATTCCCCTTTGTAGTGCTTGGCTCTGCAGTGAATCCTGAAGGGCTGACTGTGCACAGAGCCCTGTGCTGACTCTGCTCTGTCCCTCCTTGCAGAGCTCACAGACTATGCCATGGCCCTGCCCTTCGTCAGGCAGCAGGTTTACAAGACAGTGGAGAGCAAAGTTCAGAAGCAAACCAAAGGGCTCTACCCCGCTCCCCTGAAGATCATCGAGGTAACACAGCGAGGTGGGAGGACCCAGGGGGCAGGGGGAGCTGGGGGATGATGTGGCACAGGCAGAGGGAAGGTGGTTCCCTCCCCTCAGTCCACCCAACACGCTGCTCCTCACACGGATCAGTCCTGAGGAGTGCTGGCTGGGTGCTGTGCTGAGCAAGGGTGGCAGAATTCAGAGGCACTGCCCAAAATATGATCACCAGTTTATGTGGGACTGGTCCCAGTGAGGGGCAGAGCAGGAATCCCAGTTAAGGGGAGTCTTAGCTGGAATGTTTTGTCCATGAAACTTTCAGCTGCAGTTTTTCCAGGTTTCCTGGGCAGTCTCTAAAGAATTCAGGGAGCCTGTTTGAAACCAGAAAAATAGAAATTGTTGTAATGTTCATAACACTGACCACACAATACTTTAAAAGTTAATCCTCTGGGTTACACAAGCATTGTGGGACTTACAGGCACACTCCGGGGTTGAATCCTTATTTTAAGATGACTTTTCACTATTTAAGTTGTTGCCAAGACTTCTCTAAAACCCGTGAATGACTCTGAGAGCGGTGACATGACAGGAGCACAGCTCCTGAAACCACCAGGGATGGCTCCAGAGGAAAACTCCTGATGCAAAACTCCTCACCTGTCCTGTGCTGGAAGGACAGGGCGACTCCCAGCTCTGCCTTGAGCAGCAGGGGCAGGACCCAGGGAGTCTGAAACGGTGCCTGGAATATTGGGGAGGGGTCTGGGGCCAGCAGGTAACCCTGCTCAGGTGCAGGTGTTTGCAGGCAGGACTGAGCTGTGTCTCTGTTGCTCCTGGCCCAGGTTGTGAAGACGGGTCTGGATCAGGGCCGTGACGCCGGATACCTCCTGGAATCCCAGGTGAGGAGATGGGTCCTGGCAGGAATCAGTTCACTCTGTGCCCTGGGATCTGTGTCTAACCACACACAGGGGGTTCCTCACAGCCTGCTCCAAGTGCTGCCTGGCTCCCTGCCCCCCCTGTGGCACTGGGGCTGGGACAGAGGCCTGTCTGCAGCCACAGGACTGTGTGTCAGGAGTCTGGGACACCACTTGGGGCCTTTTCTCCCTCCTCTCTCTGTTATCTTTGGGTGGGGAATAACCAGAACACCCCAGCTTTGGCACAGCAGCACGTGGGTTCTCTGTGTGTAACTAAAGGTCTGGAGAGTCTGGCACATGAGGAGAGGCTGGGAGAGCTGGGAAGGGAGAAGAGAAAGCTGGGAGAGGTGGGACTGGAGAAGGTTGTGTGTGTTTATTGCACACACACAGTTTTTGATCCCTCCCTTTCTCTGCCCTTGTCTCTGCCTTAAAAACCCACCTGCCCCACATTAGTTTTTCCCTGCTGGTCCCAGTTTTGCTGCAATTGTGCTCAAATGTGTGATTCCTGGGGCCAAAGGGGTAACTCTGGCTGTGCCCAGTGTCACTGGTGGGTTACCTTGATGGTTCTGCAAGACCTGAGCCCCCCACAGAGCCACGTTTTCACCTGATTATCTCAGCATTTGGGTCGTGTCTCGTGTCCCTGCCCCTTAAATGCCAGTGAACTCCATCCATCTCCCACTTCCCTGCTTTGTAGCTCCTTTTGTTCCCTGTGGTGCCAAGGCCTGCTCTGAGCTGGAGCTGGAGCTCCCTCCCTACCTCACCAGTGCCCATCCGTGCTGGTTGTGCATTCCAACCACGTTGGGTCTGGTGCTGAACAAAAGCCTGGGGATACTCTGTTCCTTACAGCAGAGAATGGATGGTTCTTTCCCCAGAACAGCAGCAGGATGGAGATCTTCCCAGAACCTCTGAAGAATAATAAGTGTCAGTGTCATGTCTATTTTTATTTTTTTTTTACTGCCTCCCTCTGTCCCCCAGGACAGGAGTTGCAGATTCTCTTCCAGGCTTTGTTTTGGATGTTTTCACAAGGCTCTGACTCGCAGGGCAGTGGTGAAGGAAGGTGCAACCTGCTCCAGACTGCATTCTGTGCTTTTCCAGGGCTAACTTGGCTCGGGAAACATTCAGTTCTGTGTCTCCCTGTGCTTGTCTTTTGTCTTGCTGAGAAACTTCCATGCTGAGTGCTGGGAGGTTTTGCAGGATTAGATTTTATTGCCTCTCTGTGATCGTGCAGAATCAGCTGCTGCTGTCACAGAGGACTGACCTGTTTGTAAGGATTTTTCCTGAAGCCTGAGGACAGGGTTCTTCCACCTGGATCCCTGGGGGCAGTGACCCCAACTAGTCCAGGATGCACGTGGGGAGGAAGGGTCCTGTGTCAGGGAAATCCAGTCCTGCCACTGAGGAAGCAGGATTGTGGAATTGCAGCATGGTTTGGGTGGGAAGGGACTTTAAATCTCATCCCATTCCACCCCCTGCCATGGGCAGGGACACCTCCCACTAGCCCAGGTTGCTCCAAGTCCCTCTCCAGCTCTCCTGGAGCCCCTTTAGGCTCTGGAAGGGGCTCCAGGGTCTCCCTGGATCCTTCCCTTCCCCAGCTGAGCCCCCCCAGCTCTCCCAGCCTGGCTCCAGAGCAGAGGGGCTCCAGCCCTGGCAGCATCTCCGCGGCCTCCTCTGGACTCTCTCCAGCAGCTCCACGTCCTTGTGCTGCTGAGGAGAAGGTGGTGGGTGGTTGGGCAGGGTGGACAGTGCTTGGACCAGAAGGTTCCTCTCCCCAGAGGTCACCTGTGCCCCTGTCCCATTGCTGAGCAGGTCACTCACCTGGGCAGTGGGTCACTCACCTGGTCACTCACCTGGGTGGTGCCTGTGTCTCCCCTTGCCATGGTTTTGACATGCTGGCAGTGAGACAGCTGTTAACTCCCAGCTTCCCCCTTCCCTTTCTTCCAGCACTTTGGCCAACTTGCACTGACCAAGGAATCCAAGGCACTGATGGGGCTCTACCACGGGCAGGTGCACTGCAAGAAGAACAAGTTTGGGGCCCCTCAGCGAGAGGTCAAGTAAGTGCAAGTTTGGGACGCCTGAAGGAGCAGTGCCAGGCTCTTGGAAGTGACTGGCCTGGAGTCCTGGAGAGCTGTGTGGCAGAGCAGAGAATTCCAGCCTCCAGGAGGCTGATCTGCTGCGGTTCAGAGCCTTCACTTGTGGGTGAAACTTCTCACGTGACCTCTGTGAAAGTGGTGCCTGGGTGGGTGGGATCTGTGTGAGTGTGACAGGAAGGATGGAAATTCAGCCATTTCCAGCTCTGAGTGTGTCCCCTTGGTCCTTCCCCGTGCAGGACCCTGGCTGTGCTGGGAGCAGGGCTCATGGGGGCCGGCATCGCCCAGGTCTCCGTGGATAAGGGCATGAAGACCATTCTGAAGGACACGACACAGAAGGGCCTGGACAGGGGCCAGCAGCAGGTCTACAAGGGGTATGTGAGTCCAGAGGGATTGGCTCGGGGTGGGATAGGGCTGCCTTTAGTCACAGCATTCCTCTGCTGTCAGGAGCTCCTCACACCTCTGTTCTGCTGGAAGGAGCCGTCTGATGTCACAGGAAGGCTTTATCTTAAGGTTGTCCTGTGCAGTGTGCTGGGATATGGCTGCAGAACAGGCCCAGTGCAGTCAGCCTGAGGGAGGTAGAGATCTAACAGGGGGTTGCTTTGCTTTTAGATTTAGCAGTAACTTCTAGAGCCAAGGCCCATGTCGGGGGAGGCATCCCAGCTCAGAGCTCTGGAAAGCTGGTTTTCCTTCCCTGCCCTCCTGGCTCAGCAGCAGTAGTGCTGAGCTCTGGGGTGTCAGCTCTGACCCTCAGCTGAGCTGTGTGAGCAGGGCTCTCCTGCTTCCATGTGGAAAGAAGGGCCAGGGTGCAGGGTGCCAGTCCTGTGGGATTGGAGCTGGAGTTTCGGGTGCCAGCTCTGGGGGCAGGGCAGGAGGGGTGCCCGTGGTGCTGTGGTGCCCCCCCAGCAGCCGTGACAGAGCTGTCCCTCCCCAGGCTCAACAGCAAGGTCAAGAAGAAGAGCCTGACATCGTTTGAGAGGGACTCCATCCTCAGCAACCTGCTGGGCCAGCTGGACTACAAGGGCTTTGAGAAGGCAGACATGGTCATCGAGGCCGTGTTCGAGGACATCAACGTCAAGCACAAAGTGCTGAAGGAGGTGGAGGCCGTGAGTATTGGTCCTGAGCTCCTGCTGCACGTGGGCCCTGGGGGCTGAGGGGTCCTGGGCTGTGCTGCTGGGTCTGTCCCACCCTCTTTGTGCTGCAGTTTGGTTCTTGGTCACAATTAGCTGTGTCAGGACGTGGGTGAGCATCAAGGGCGGCTGTTCTGTTCACTGAGGACAATTCCTGCTCAATAAGGAGTTTTTAGCTGAATGGGGCAGTTCTGACATTCCCTGACTCCTGGGAGCTGCTTCAAAAAGAGCTGAGGACATTTGTCTGAGGACACTGATACAACAGTGATGTCCTTGGGCATCTCCACACCTCGCAGTCCTTCTGCTGTCCCTGCCCTGCTGCCACTGCTCTGTTCTGTTCAAGGGGGGAAAGAAGCTGTATGGCAAAGGGGCTGGTGTGGGCCCCTCCTGCAGTGTCTTGTGGGATTGCAGTGCTCTGGCAGAAACATGGGAGCTCTGGGACTGATTCTGCACCCCTGGGGAGGTTCAGGGGAGGTCAGGGCTGGCTGACTTAAGCTGCTGCTTTAGAACTAGTTTCTAATGAGAAAACCCAGTATACCTTGTTTGCCAGGGCTCCCGGGGGCTGGTGCTGCTCTCCCAGGGCTCTGGATCCCCCTCTGGAGCCTGAGCTCTGACAGTGCCTCCCACCCCTCCACAGGTGATCCCTCCTCACTGCATCTTCGCCAGCAACACCTCTGCCCTGCCCATCAGCCAGATTGCTGCTGCCAGCAAGAGGCCTGAGAAGGTGAGTCCCCAGGGCCACGTGCCCTGCACAGAGCTGCCTGTCCCTGGGGAGGTGGCT